TCAACTTTCCGTGCTTATCTTTCTCTGTGCTCAACTTTCCGTGCTTAACTTTCCGTGCTCATCTTTCCTCGTGCTCAACTTTCACCGATCCGCTTTGCAGATAAGAAATGGTAATACACAAAATGAATTGTGAAGCAACTATTGAACAGAAAGAACAGGATGATGCGTATTAGGAATTTTATTATCTCTAAATCTTATTATAGAAGTAGTACTCGGAAAAAAATATTTATCATCGATTTAATCTCTTCATTGATGCTATAGTTACTTAAAGAAAAATGTGTATTTAAAAAAAAACTGTGCCAAAAATACGTATGATATTTAAAAATAGCTTTTCATATACGTAGTATTTCTTTTTTTGACTGTAGTCTAATAAAAAGGAGTAGACGGCATCGTTGTCTAGTTAACACTATCATAAAAAAGAAACGAAGTAGGTCTTTTGAAATCATTCCATTCTCTCTTCCGCATCAATGGTCACTATCGTTTTCAAAGTATACTGCACTGATCGATCTGCCCATACCATTGACATATTGAGGAAGCTAATGTTCTATTTCTGTAGTAGTTTTATCAGTGGCTCTTCTGGAATCGCTTCAGAGATAAAGGATTAATAATAGTTGAAAAAAGACAAAAACATGAAAATGCGCAAGTCATTAATGATAAAGAAGAAAACTGTTTTTCATTAATTCCATATATTTGAAAGGGATAGTAACATATGCATGTTTTTATTTAAGTGTAATTGTAAAAAAAAAATATGTGCTTATATTATGTTTTGTCATTTTTGTGATCTTTATGTATAATTATTCTGATTCAGAAAAAAATAAATAAAGAATATAAAATTCTTTGTGTTATAGAAAATCTCCTGTTGTTAATACAAACATAGAATATGTGACGACGTTAGTATTCATGAGTCAAGGTCACGACCATGAACTTGAAAAAAATCATTCAAGGCCATGATCATGACCGTGACCATCGTAAGCTACGGTGCTCATGCTAGATACTTGGAAGACTTCTCTCTCATTAGTATAAAAGGTAATAGTTCATGGATGAATTAAAAGTTTCGATATTGTTTACTTGTATTATTGTCGTTCACAGATATCTCATCTATTTGTGTTTATTTATTACCATATTCTTTTACAAGTACTACTTCTATTTCTTTGAGTCGAATATAAATTTTAACGATAAGCAAAATAAAAAATATTTAATACCGTTAAAATAAAAGTAACATACAACTAGCTTGTATTAAAAAGAAATCCTAGAAATACGTATAATTAGCCATATTCATTATCACTAACATTCATATTTGAATGATTATCAACTGGTATTTCATATTCGGAATATTTTTTTCGATTTTTTTCACTAATTTTAGCAAATAAAGGTTCAGCATTATTAAGTAATGTAGTAACATCAGCATGTGCTCCACCCATTTTAATACCCAAATGTGCACAACAAATATTTTCAAAAGGCCAATCATGTAATAATTTACGCATCCAATCACGAAATAAATATGGTGCATTACTTGTTGGATAAAGACCAGAATTTTTAATTGATGGATGAAATGCCATTATACCATTTTGGTAACCAAATAATTTAAGTAAAAAACTAGGTTTTTCAGTAAACATTAT